ATTATATACCCTTCTGATTATAGTGGATGTCATAAAAAAGTCAATCTCTGATTATCAATTAGGGTAGGAGAGTATAACAAATCAGTGAACCAATACAAAATGTAAAAAAAATCAATCGTCAAATCAGTGTCAGTTTTGATTAAAATCTCTTATCAAAGATTGGGTAGGTTAAGTTTACAAACTAGTAAACTAATGCATATAACGGACATAAAAATCAATAAAAGATTGATTTGAGGCTCTGATTCTTGAAAGGGTGGGTTAATTTTCCAAATCATTAAATCAACATAAAAATCCATAAAATTCTGATTATAGATGTGGGTTGTACTGGGTAGGTTAGTTTAACAAACCAGAAAACTAATAGAAAGCGACAAACTATCGATATTGCTGGTTGCTTCACGACACCAAATATATTTCTTTAGTATATCTCCCAGATTAATGCCTACGACTAACATTTGGGTAGAGCACTTTTACAAACCGGTGAACCAGTGCAGGCCGACATAAAAATCAATGAATTTAATCTATACTTTTCTTAGAAGCCTGTCTCACGACAACAAATACCCAGCATGGTGATATATAAACAAGAAGATATGTAAGCTATGAAAGATCAATAAATTTGCTTTCAATGGCGAAATAAAGAAAGGCATTTGGTCTCAATATAAATGAAAGACAGCTCCAACAACACTACCCTTATCTCTTTTCAAAATTAAAATCTGACTTGCAGTTCGTGATACGTAGGGTATAGATGCTAGATGCATTTATTTTGTGGGCTAAATAAAGAACGACAATTGCTCTCTATATAATTGAAGGAAAGTTCAAACACCTCTACCCTTAGCACTTTTTAAAACTAATATTTGACTTGCAGTTTGTGATATGCAAGGTAAAAAGTAAAAATGCATTTGGCGAAATGAATAAATGCAAATGCTGATAGATGTCATTGAATGAAAGCTCAAATGCAGATATCCGTAGTACTTTTCTTAATGAATATTTGACTTGCAGTTCAGTAACAATTTAACGTATCACAGATTTAAATATTTGATAAACCAATAATCATATCATTATTTCAATTTTTTCAAACTTCCAGATTGTATTGATTTGTTGCTTTGTAAAGCTATGCCACCCTTATTGGTTTATTGCAGTGCAGTAGAAGCAGTGATTTTGTTATTTTAGATCAACTTCCGTGTTAGTTATATTTGGATATTCCCACAAGAACCATAAATAAATAGTTCAAAACAAACGTCTCGAATAACAATCCAAAATCTTTCAATTGAATGTTTCACATATCGAGACACCAGAGGTCATCGTGAGCTCAAGGTGCAAGAGTGGTACCTAACACTCAATACATCTACACCTTTCAAACAAGTCTTCGAATTTAAATGTTCACAATTGCACACTACTTAGTGTTCATTCCTTCCTAATTATCACAGAGTTTGAAACAGTATTGGAAATAAACTCCATTTCGTGAGTCTTATAGGCTCCCGAGCATGAGTTCTTGAACAATAGGACGTAAAACTCCATTCAATATCACAGTAATGTTTCAGTCCACAAACTTTTTACACAAACCTGTCCTTCAAAAATTTACTATAACTGTTCTCACATTCGGCTAACCGGTTGATAAAATAGTCCTCGTTTTCTATACTTTCTAGCAGGTCGGCTTGCACCAAACACATCTCTTCAAAACGGGCCACCTCGTCGTGCGTCAAACTCCGAGCACGTTTCGGTACATCGTCTTCAAAAATTCGTAAATCGATGATACTGTCCTCTTCGTAACTACGAAAATTGTCATCGAAGAAAATATGATGCACTGAAGCATCAGTCGGGTCGATCCACATTGGTTTACCAGCACTAAAAGAATACGAGTTGTTCTGCCAATGCTGAAAATCGTCCTTGAACGCCATGATTCCTTCCGATCGCGAAAACAATCGGTACATGTCTCGCTCATGGTTCATCTTCTGTAAAATTTCTCCATTACTTTTTAACAATTCCATTTCGATTAACCCGTCGTTAGTGCGTCGGATGTTTCCAGTGCGTTTATGAATCGGAATGTTCAAACTTTGTGAGAACCCAGGATGATTTCCCTTTAAACCGTACGCCATACTCTCCAGCACGTTAGGAGCGTCCAGTCCATACGTCCGGAGAATGATAGAGAAATCTCGATGTTTGCTTTTGAGAAAATGAATGAGTTTATAAAACGACGGTATGACGTAATGATAGCGTTTACCATCTAACCCAGACATGGTCAATTTCTGATCCCGGCTTTCATCATATTCGTGGTCCCACTTCAACAAATTCATATGTCGTTCGAAATTCGGTTTAAAATCCTTTCCGATTGAGCTTTGTGTAAAATCACCAGTTTGGATCCGAAGATCTTTACGATCCGACGGTGTCCGAACTAACCTGCCTTCCAAATATTTGTAGTACGTCAACAACTGATCGTTCCCCGGGGGTTTGAGGGACACTTGATCCGATTGCCATTGCCACTTCCCTTCAACTTCCTTACCCCACGTAACTCCGGTTAAAAAACTATTTAGGGCATGCTCCACACTCACGTTAGTCACTGAATCGGCTACGAGGATTGTATTTCGTATGTCAAAGTGTAGCACCAATTTCCTTTTCCGTCCAGTATGTACAGCATGATTCGGTGCCACAGACGATCGCCGTTTCAGCAGAGACGACTTAGAATCGGCAGAATGAAGTCCACCATGTGATATTTCCTCTTCTTTCAGTAACATGATATCGTTTATCATAATTTTCCTCGATATCCGTATAGAGTCCTATTGACCACAGGGCACGATGCAAATTAATATGTTCAATAACTACCACGAGGCATACTTGAATCACTAATGCATGTATATATTTTAACGTAGTTAGGGAAGCCGGTATATAGACGCATTCAATCCGTTATTCGTAAATTACTAAGAATAGAAAAAAAGTAGACCAATCGGCAAATATATGATCCACATAGACCATTGATTGATTAACTAGAACATGGATTATGTATTTACCTGGTTGCCATTGGATGCAAATAAACAATCTTGTGTCGATTATGAGACAATAGACTAGTAAAGGTGAGGGAGTGAAATAAATCTATATACTGTAGAGTATCACGTATACCCAGACGCTACAGTATGCGATAAAAGTGCGTTGGTTTAAAGGGGACCACAGGGACTCAATGATAACTCGGTGGTCTCCAACCTTTTCAGCCCACAAACCCTGGGGCAATCATATGAACTCCAAAAGCGAGAGTTAACTCGCGAACCTAGGTGGGACTGGCAATCGGGGAATTTTACTGTGTGTCATTTGTCGTGTCATCCTGTACTACCTGAATTAGGGGACAGAGGTCAAGTGGTCACGGGAAACTGTCATTAAGCCTTTCCATTAGTCCAATAAGGTACAAAACAGTAGTATATATTAACTCTATTTCATCTAGTTAACCATATGCCATTTGAATCTTCAAATTAGCCTTTCTCATTAATTTCGCTAATGACATAATCCAATTTTAGTGATAATCCAAGATTAAGTGACTGGATTAGCGCCATTAACGCTGATTGGAATTAAAAACAAAATGGAGGACAATTACAGAACCAAACGATCTACAAATGTACTATGAATGTTTAGCTTGCGTTCTGCATTCAGCTCTACGGAAGCAACCGAAGATTGACGAACGCAATGACAGGATCGCCAATCTGATTCCGGATGTTTTCTTTAAGATCCTCAATAACGACAGTGGCCAATGAGTTCCGAATGCAACTCACAACTCAGTTGAATGCATGAGAGCTGCTTCGAAACTTTTTGCAGCTATTGGGTCACATAATTGCAGTATTATTGGATTCTTTCTAATATTTTGGTTTAAATCGCAGTTATTTTATAACCGAGGATTGTTATGATATTTTGTGACATCAATTTACATTTAAACTTGCTCTAATTCGGTCGAGTTGAAATTTGATTCAGAGACCAACATTTATGATCATGATTGCCATACTAATATTAGCGAGCGGTTTGGTGTCGATCTTGGCCAGTGCTTCCGGGCTGGATTGTGAGAACCCAGTGAAGTTGACGACCTTCAATGCTGGTTTGACACCTCATCTACCAGGCTACGAGTCGAGACGGGAGGTGCTACCACTTGCTCTACCACAACACGACGCGGATGTGATTTGCCTACAAGAAATGTGGTTCGAGGACGACATGAAACGACTCGTGGACAGAATGATACGTCGAGGTTTCAGTTTTTACAGCACCATTAACGAAGATGTGGATAAGTTGAAGACATTGCCATCATTCTTGGCACGTGTGTTTACACGTGCATCCAGCCCACCCTGTGCCACTTGGCGTGTATCGCCATTAATGCTCTGCTATATTTGGAACTGCCGTCGAACTTCCAAACTCTCTTTGCTAATGTGCTTAGAACAGAATTGCAGAACGTATTTAAATATTATACCGCAAGACTGCATCTCCTGTCTTGTCATGGGACTGTCTGGTGTGAAGACGGTGCTAAACAGGTGCATGTCTGGTAGACAATACAACCGCTTCAATACCCAGGGATTGATGATTTTCAGCAGAAAGAGAATTTTGAAGGCCTCACATCAAGTATTCCAAGATGAAAGGATACGACAGATTTTACCAAGGGGTTATATCGAGGCAGAGGTAATAAAATTTTTCTTGGGATTCCCCTTTGCCCATCTTCATAAGCTCAATCAGGTGCAGAAACGTAGGACGTAAAGAAATATAATTTCTTCTATCGCACGCAGCAACCTTTGATACATTTTAATATTAACAAAGAATGAAATACCAGACAGATTTTGCCATCGGGCAATATTAAAAGTAGAGATAACGATTTTTTCCATTTTGAAGGCCTTTCATTTGCATCCCTTGAAAGCGTTGCAGGATATCCTCAGCAACATTAAAGGCGAGACCAGTTTTTTAAATTTTTTGTCTGAATACACGGCCTGTGATTTCGTGTTTCCTTTATCTTCCAGATTGAGAATCTTGGTACTATCGTCTGTACCCATTTTACTGTTAACATCAGCCGAAATCCGATAGAGGGTATGTAGAATGTTTTTTTCTGGACAGTATTCTCGATGATGTTTAAGATGGTCAGATTATGTGACAATGTTGTATTTTCGCTAATTTTGTCCGGCATGTGAAGATCAATGGCAAGATGGCGGAGTCGGGGTGGTCTATGTTCGTATCTTGGCTAATACCCCCCTGCCCGTCTATACGACCCTGTTTTATTTTCGCTGATACGTTTTAACATTCCAGATAACTTGCCGTATAACACCACCGGAAGCCAACAGGCAGACGAGATCAGAAGACTTCACGAACATTTCAAACACAAAGAGCACATCATTCTGGGCGATCTGAACACCGGACCGTATGATCCATCTCGAAATCTTTGGACTAATCTACCAGAAAACTATCAACTACTGAAGGATTTTGGTTATATATCGCCGTACGAGATGAACGGAGGAACGTGCACCTATTGTGACTACAATAACGTTCAGAATAACGCCTCCAAAAACTCGCTAGTTGATCATATCTTACTGGAACGACAGTCGTTCAGAAATCCAAAGGTAGTATGTTTTATTTTTCTCTAAAGAAGAAGCCTTGGCGGGACGTGTAGATTTAGGATGCAATGTCAAATTTTATCACACCTTTCCGGATAACATTAATTATCCCATCAGATATGCAGTGGCGGCGTCAGGCCCCCGAAACTGGGGGTTCAAATAGGGGGAAGACCGACTCAATGGGGGACAACTGCTGAGGATGAATTCAATTTTGGCTACTCAGTTGTGGTGCTGTAGTCTCAAGCCTCTAATAGAACGTCTCAGAGGGTTCTCGCAAGAAAATTTTAAAAAAAATGAATTGATTTTGTGCAATTGTGGGTGCAAATATTATGATCGGAACTGAAAGATGTCAGATCTATGTTACCTACACACTGCGTCATATACCTTTGCTATATCCTATGATCTGGTGAAGCTTTCTGAAATTACAGATAAACTCTATTATCTCCCTTTAATCAACTTTATTTCAGAGAGTATTTACTAGAAGAGTTGGAAAATGGAATCTGTCGGATCATTTCGGATTACAGATTGAAGTCTGTGTTTAATATATTATAAATATACAGTCTTATATCTAATATTATCTTCAATAACAGAAAAAATGTCGGCAAGGCATTGTCCCCCCCCCCCCCCCCCACACACACACCCAACTGAATTCTTTATCATTTTATACAGTGAAAGAATTGCCTGTGGCCTCCCTGAAAGATTGTGCTGCCCCTGCTCAGTCCCACACCTACAAACACCATAGCTGAGGACATTTTCATGAGGGGTCAGGCCATTTTATTGAGTGCTAATTCTACTCTCTAATCATAGAGAGCTTGGTCATATCATAAATATTCAAAATAAAATTTTCAATTACATGTCATCTACATCGGAATGTCTTCAAGTCCATAGAAACATTAATTTTTTTTTACTTCTTTTGCATAAATATCACTCTTCTTTATTTTTCCACCATTTTATAACCGGGTTACCCTCCTTTAATGGTTTAACAATGTCATTAACCATGGGATAATTGACAGTCGCAGGGATAGTATATTCTTGTCCCTTATCTTTAAAAGTGATTCTAATTCGATCCCGTACAGTCTTAGGAGTGTCCCAATTTGTTATCACCGTATCTGGTGGAAGATTGTGTTTGGCGAAGGAAAGTTCCGGCTGGAAAAGTATAAAACCATACGGACTAGCAAAACTGAATCGGGAATTAGATTCCGGGTAAAATGGGGCAAATGTTGTGATAAACATGGTAATCTTGTTAAATTCAAACACCCATCCGGGTTTATCAATGTATGATTTAGTCATAGAGTGTCCACCACCCGGATCTTGGTCACTTATCACTTTTAACACTTTACGAACGCTTGTAGAAAACACCTAGAATGATAAAGACAGCCTAGAAAAGTAGAATTTATAAAATTTAGACTGTGGACCTTTGAGCCAATGGAGCTAATTACATAATATGGAAAAAATCCACAAGCGCCTACGTACCTCAAGATTTGATGAAATATCAGCAGGTAACTGAATAACAAATCCGTCAATATTCAGACTGGAACATTTTACAGAGAACATCAAAAATGTGGGTAATAACCTAAAATATAACAAAACAGAATTAATAAAACCCACAACAATTTTATATGTCATTAACATAATCATAATTTGTCATACAAAATGAACATATCAAACTAGAGGCATTTTTACGCACTTAAATTTGATTCGATTACCCTAATCAGAATGATGTCAAAATTCGAACCTGATTTATACTGCAGGATAAATGAACATTTTACTATTTTCCATGATGGCAGCAAGGCAGGAAAAAATTACCCTGCACGTAATGGTTTTGACATGTTGGATGCCATTACTAAAGCGGAAGTTAACAGAGCTACGACGATCCAAAGTTGATTTACTCGATTAATGTATATCGATTTGATTCGCTGCTACAATAAATGGGCTGATTACCATAATCAAATTTGATTTGATACAGGATAAATGTTTTTTTTAGACCAAATCGAATCAGATTAACCCAGGAAAAATTCCACTTAGCTAATAACTGTGAACTATAGTCAACAAAATGGCATTCTATATATATATGGCATTCCCCCCCCCAACTCCGAACAGTTGTAAGTTTTCTTACCTAAATGTGTTTTCTTCTGAAAAAGAAAGTAAAAATTTGATAAGACACGAAGCATATTATACACTCAAAGAGCTGCTTTGCTTTGCTGTGTCACTCAGTCATTCAGAACTACTACATTGATTTTGGATTGTGTCAGCTCATCTGTCATTGATCAGCAAATTAACTTTGAAGTATCATGCAAACTCTTTTCATCAAAACCTGATGTGCCTCAATCTTCTGCTGTATAAAAGTCCCAAAATTTAAATTCAGATCTACACACCTAAAGACAGTTTGTCATTCCATTCTGGAGAACCCCAAATATTAGCCGTCTTTGCAAATATACAGGCAGAGTTCCTCTGTATTACATCAAAATGATCTAAAGATGGTACATCTGTGGCATCGTAAGTTGTAAAGCTGATTAGTTGATCTATGAACTCGGAATCCTCCCCTTCAGTTCCAGTCCTGGTTTTTCTGTAGTATTTCAATGGATTATGGTTCTTGATTATCTCCCCTTTAGTTTGAGATTTATTCACGCTTTTTACGTAAATATATAGAAGAAAATAACCTGAAAAATTATAAAATTTGGGTTTTCCAAATTCAATCACCATTCTCCCCACAGATTTATGAAGTGTTAATTTTCCATTTCTGCAATTTTTGAAATGCTTACTCTCACTTTAGCATTACAGTCCCTTTAATCATGAACCAAAAATCCATGAATTCCACCCACACCCCCCCCCCCCCCCCCAACCCACAGA